GATCATTAGGGCTTGCCCACCTAGAAACTTACATTATCATACTATATATAGCCTGCACACAGACAATTACTAAACTAAATGAGACTCAAGCCTTCATTAAAAAGAAAGTCAGACAACAGATTCATCTCAATTCATATGCTATCCTAGCCACAGCCACTAACAGAAGAGAAAGAATGTGGAAAACAAGTCATGTAAATAATTAGCTTTCCTCAGCATACCCCCCTCAAAGCTTCCAGCAATGAGAAGTTTAGGGACTTCCTGAACTGGAGGATGCACCTGGACCACTGTCTGACACCAAAATGCATCCCTTAATTTGACTAATGACTTTCTGAATCCACTTACATTTTTGGCCATGCCACAGTATCCTGTGGCATGGAGTTCCACAGCTTAATTATACATTGGGGGGGGGGGGGGGAACATAACAAAATCCCCTTCCTTTTGTTCAGATTAAACCAGTTACTTGGTCATTCCATAATACACCCTACTTCTCATATTATGAGAAACAGCAAAATCACTATCTTCTCTGAATCACTGACAATTTCACATACTTCAGATATTCCTCTCCACTTCCTTTTCCTCAGTAATCTCTTTTCAAAGACCCCCTAGTCTATTTACCTTCATTCTGCCTAAAAACTGTTGCATAAAATCTGGCCATAATCATTACTCATTCCCTCTCTACTCTTTTTTTAGTTATGCTTTATCCTTTTTGAAAGTGAACAGAAGGAGCTGCAAGCAAAAACAAAGTTCCGAGTCTACAACAGCATATAGTTTTCTCCTTGTTTTCCGGTATCTTTTCCACGCTTTCTTAAACACTCCATTTATCTTTTGGTTGGTCACTAAAAACGAAGCTGATAACTATCCACGTTGACTCCAAGATATCTTTCCAGAATTTAGCACCTATCATGCTGTATGCACATTTAACTTTTCATCCGCACATTACATCCTGTAGCAACGAATCAATGTCAAAAGGTTGCCTGGTAAGATAGAGGAATGTGTGTTGGATAATTCTGGTACAATAAAGAAGCAGAAGTCTTCCCTGCTGTAACATGAGTCTCAATTTACACAGAGATATTTCAACTAAATTCCAGTTATACTATAGAATATGAAACAGTGCACTGGTAATACTGAGAAACCATCTCTGAAAAGGCAACACATGAACAAAGGGGATAATTTCTTTGGAGGAAATGGAGCGATCACAAATGAGAGTAAGCCAGAACAGAAAATTATTTCTAACATCTCATTATTTGTTGCTGTAACATGTTATTCTCTGTAAGAGGCTTTCCTAGGGGTAACAATCTTCCCAAAATTTTTTAAGACAGTAAGAATTCCTTATCACTATGAAGACAAATAATTCAGAATTATTTGGATTTGAAATAACTGGAATTGCCTGGTTTCCTTTTTCCCAGCCAGTATGGTATTCCCAGAAAATTTCCAGCCCACACGTTTTGCTTGTTATGAACTAACCTAAACAGCCATCTCCGTCAGTATCTAACATCCACTGATGTCCTCACCCACAGCAAATAGAGTTTATTAAAAAAAAAAAAAATCACTTTCAAATTCCTTCAGCAAGGGTACAGGCAATATCTTAATGAAATATGCAGAGTAACACTAAAAAAAAAGTGTGGGGGGGGAAGTTTGGTATCTAATACATAATCACAGACCAAGTCAGGTGTGCAGATTTCCAAGCACGAACTTTATTAGAGTTCAGTTAAAAATACACAATCTCCAGACATTTGAGATGTAGTTCTGACTGATAAGGTAGCAGACAGGAAATGAAACCCCTCCTAAATGCTACTCCTTATCTTGAAAAGCTCTGAAATTATTACTGAACTAATAAAGTAATTTTGTTTTTTTTTTAAATGATCTTCTGTGATAAAGGCAGTTATGAGATTATTACTTTTTGCTGGGTATGTACCATACTGATGCGCATGGCAACTTCTAAGAGTCTTTAGAGCAGACGCTGGTAGTGAATGTGTCAGCCTTTACAATTCCTTTGAAAGGAGGAAACCTTAATCTGTTAAGCTAAAAGTTAGTTGACAGCACCATATTATAATTCATTATTTTGCTTTCATGTTTAGATATTAATACGGAAACTACAAAAATATTTACAGCATGTATTTTCCTAAAGCTTTAGAGAACACCATTCTCCATTAGTGTTTTCAACATGTATTGGAAGTATTTTGGGTAACAGCTGATCAGCTGAAGAGTGTAACACAAATCAAAGAGTAACCAGCTTTTCTTTTTTTTTTCCACATGTGAAAAATCAAACCCCAGAAGATTCTGCTGTGGTAGAGCTTCATATTGATGCTTTATCATGTTTTTTTTTTAATCCTTTCATTCTATGTGAAAGGACACACTCCCAGACTGAGCGTCTGGCAAGAGCATCTGGCAGCAGAGGGACAGACAAACCTGTTCTGCCATATGCTTCCTGTGTAACCTTGAGCAAAGCGCTTAGGGCCAGATCTCAGAAAAAGACAGATTAACTCAAACTCTTAAATTCCAAATAGATCCAGAATTACAACTTGAAAATATGCAATCCAGCTGATAACTCAACTCCAGAAGCATCTCAAGTTTACAGGTTTCTTAAGTTTTCAATATGCAGGTACCACAGTAATCCAGTGTTCTCCTTCTGCATGCCTGAAAGTGCCCAGATCACAAAAAGGATGAGAAGTTCAGCTCTTAGCACATGCTTAACTCTGCTGGGATTCAGACTGGACATCCCTCTTGCTCAGCTCCCCAAAGCCAACTTGGTAAATTCAGAGCAGGTCCAATAGGTTAAGTTCTGCACAAAATACCAACAAATCCTATATAAAGGAATCCCTGCTGTTTGCCATTGCGACGACTGTGCTTTTCATCGCAGCAATAAAAGAGCCAGGTGATAACCACTCTGCCCAGCACGTGAGAGACTAGGACCCAGTTCTTCCCTATGCCTGCAAGAATTCAAACTCGCACCTCAGGAAAGTGCTCTGAGGCTGCAGGGTATTTTACAAGGAGGCCACTCCTTCCTTCCTGCTTAAGCCATTCTCTTTTTCTGGAAAGCATTCAAAATGCACTGGCCTAAAGACAAAATGCAAAAGTGAAAAAATGCAAGATAGCCCCATACTCGGGGAAGGTCCCAGTTCCACCTCTAGGACTTCTTACACATCTTAAGAATAATTTAGTGTTTAACGATAATAGCCTGCTTCTGTGCTTAGGATTTGAAGCATGTGGGTTCAGTCCCTTGATGCAGAAAAGAACACCAAATCCTGAACTGTCACAGACAGGGAAAGTTCTCCTGCCATTGAGCACAGTGGATCCACTCCTAACTGTATTAGCTGTGTTTAAAGGAAAGCCTCTCTTTAGAGCCATGGGGCCAGCCATGAGCTCAAATGGAGCATTTCCTGACAGTGCTGAGGACAGCAGCTAAGGGAGGAAAGAGATGCTACTTCAGACATGCTGCTGTCCTCTGTGCTTCCTGTAAGCTGCACTGAGGCAGCTACACGTTCAGCGTACAGGGTTCAGCTGTTATTACTAGGAAGCACCTTACCCTCGCCATGCATTGTATAAAAGGAGCTCAGCAGTGTTCTGGATGCTACAGTGGAAGCAGGCACACAAAGGTTAAGGATTGCTAGACCCAGGCTTGCTGTAAAATACAATAAACAACAGCTACTCCACCCAGAACTTGAGGCTAATACATAAAAAACTGTTGATAATAGGAGTCAGAGACTGATAGAGATTATTTGACACCTTATTAGCACTGTTTTTTTCAACCACACAGAAGAAGGTGCCTAAGTGCATTCGGGGAAGCTCTTGAGAAGTAAAAATAACGTTTCTGTAACAGGGGTTATAAAGATACTAAAATTCTAAATGTTAACATATTAAAACGTTAAAATTCTAGACTATATCTTAACTTTATTGCGAGGCGGGAGGGTGAAAAAGTTTAGTGTGAGCATATTGACTTTATGATTAAATTAACACCAGGAATTCCTGATAGATAAAAAACAGAAAACAGTAACCATAGCTTCAAAAAGCTCCATCTATGTGCAGAGTCCATCTCCACAGTTCTGAGTTTCTACTCTTTACCTATAAACCACGGAGCTACTTGTTTTAAATTGTTTGGTTATAAAACAAGTTGAAATACAGTCTATTTTAGAAGTTGGGTATCTGTAAAGATATACAAATCAGCTTTATACACCAAGTCAGTTCTTAGATGTTCCCCATGCTGAGAGCAGTACATAGAGAACTGTAATTTTTATGGTGTGCAGCACCCTCTACAGGGGCAGGTAGAAAGTGTTTATTTTGGAAAAAAAAAGGAAACTAAGGAAAGGGATACTATCACCATCATGCAATAAAATCATACAAATCATACATCATAGAATATCAATAAACTTTGTGATCATAGAAAGGCTGTATAGTGTCTGATCTAATAACACATTTCAAGTGTTATTAGAATTACAAGTAATACTCTTTTTTATTGCCTCCCCCCTCCCCCTTCTTTCAATCTTTGATTTGTCCAGCTTGGACAGTAACATTCACTGAAGTTAGCTCTGCTTTGATTTAAAGTGAGTTCCCACTTAAAAAAATCAGTAATAGCAAATTTGGGTGGAAAGATCAATATTAAAACACACTTAACAACTATACTTCACACTTAATACTTTAAAACCAACAGTTGATCACTACTGGTGTTTTTATTTGTAGATATATTTACCTGTGATAACCAAACAATTTCTTTACGAGCTAGACGCTGTTAACTCTTGCAAAGAAATGGCCACGTAAGTGTGATTACCTTTTGGAAGAACTGACAGAAAGTAAGTAGGCACCAAGTTATCACTTCCATTAAACCCAGATCATATTTCACAATCACAACCAAAACGACGATGCATCTCTTAGTAACTTTGCTGTAAGCTGATGCTGGCATTAGGGTTGCAAAAACACTAATAAGTATTAAATAAATTGTAATAAATAAAACAAATAATTTCAATAATATGGGACAAATTTCAGAAGAAAATTGATGAACTGACCTCTTCATCAGAGTCATCTGCAAACACTGAAAGTTTCTTCATAGCAAGATTTTTCTGTTGCATTTTTTGGGGCAAAATGAGCCCATATCTAGGAAAAAAGTTTAAAAGTTGCCCTTAATATTATTTACAATAAAACATACAGCATGTTCCAAAATAAAAATCCACCATTCAATTTGAGAAGCAAAAGATCAGCATCAACACAATGCTATCAAGTACTGTTCTGACCAGTACCTGTAGCAGTGCACTCAACTTTGCCACACACTTGTCAGCTTCTCCCATAGCTTCTTTTCTGTGTAAAGTTTCTGAATACTACAACCTTCCTAAATTAGGCCACAAAATCCTCTCATCCTGTGTTTTCTAAATAGTGCTTCACACCCCCACAGAGAAGTAAGAAGTGACCGCTTTTTAACCTGCAGAGATTCAGTTTTATTGTACAGTACATACTCCCTTGTAATTAAGTTTGCCTGAAGAGTAAATATTTCACATACTTTGCATGAGACTGTAAACCACTGATAACAGAGTTACAGCTCTGGTAAAAGACTGAGAGCCAGCTTATGTCATGCAGAGAGATCAAATAACTATATATACAGAACTCCTGTGCTGACACAGCAAACATCTGCGGTGTTTTCAGTAATCACCCATTTCTCATTCAAGAATTTCTCTTCCACCAGCCTTTCCCTGAACACATTTAACGTTTCATTTCTACAGCATCATGGAGATCTCCAGCTTAACTCCACGCTCTGTGAAGAACTATTTCCTTTCATCTGTTTTGAGCCTGCCCCCACTAGCTCTATTTGCCCCTGGTGTGCAGAGAGCAGGCCAAATTGTGGTCCTGCCACACCAGAAC